ATAAGCCAAAATAATAGATATTTGTGGGAAATTACTCAACAAACTGTGATTATTCGTCAGTGTCATGATTGTGAATGTATAAAATCAAAGAGAATCAAATTATAAATAGATTATAAACTAATCAGATAATCAAGCAAGAAGTTCAAAACAAGGCCATCATACAAAAATGCATTTACAAATAACATGTTAGAGGGAATGCTATTTTTAAATTTCTGTTTACAGTAATAAAAGTAACTACAAAATGCCAGAAATAAACCTTTCAAAGAATTAAAAAAAAAAAAACCCTATATATCAGGCTATAAAACATCACTGAAAACATAAAAAAAACAGACATAAATAAATGCAGAAATATAGTTTTTTTCCGAATGAAAGGAATCAATATTGTAAACATGAAAGTTTATTCCAAAGTTATTCTGTATTAGTGCATACCCAGATCTTGACAAACTGATTCCAAAATCAGTGAAAGAGAAAAGGTGTGAAGATGGTAGCTTAAGGAGGAGGAAGAAGAGGAATCATGATGCGTGAGAGAAGACGAAGATTTTCACTCAAGCATCAAAACATGTTATAAAGCGGTAGTAAATAATGTGATTGGGATAGAAGTGGATGAATAAAGCATTGGAACAGAATAGGGAATTCAGAAAACAAACTTATACGAGAATTTAGAGCATAAAGATTGAATTTTTTTATTTTAAAATTCGTGTAAGGGTCAAGTAATCAACAATGGCATTGGAGAAATTGCTCTTCGTTCAGAAAATAATTGTGTGTGTGTGTGTGTGTGTGTGTGTATCACAACTCACAGATATAAAGATTAATGCCCAAGAATAAAAAATAAAATGATTAAAGCTACACAAAACCTTTATAATCTTGTGATTAAAAACAATCCATAGTCAAAACACAAAAAACTAGAATCCGTAAGGACATAACTAGAAACCATGATTATGTACAAATATTTAACTGTGAAAAAGAGATACTTATAGTATCCCTAAAAGACTAGTGACAGTCTGAAGGAATATTTACACAAAATAAGATAATATCCAGAATATATCACGAATTCCTGCAAATCAATAGACGATAAAGAACCCAATAGGAATTTTTGTTGTGTTGTTATGTGCCATTGGTTGGACTCAACTCATAGCGACCCCTCCTTGGGTTTCCAAGGCGGTATCACTATGAACTAGATCACCCAACCTTCTTTCTGAGGAGTGGCCGGTGGGTTTGAACCACCAGCCTTCCGGTTAGCAGTCAAGTGCCTTAGGCACTGCACTTCTAGAGCTCCTTCCGTAGGAGTAGGGGTAAATAATAAAAATAACTCACCAAAGAAGTGCAAATAACTGATAAACATTTAACAGATGCTCAATACCTCACTAGAAATCCAGAATATTCTAAAGAAAATAAATACTATTTCCATATTTAATGATCTTAAATGTAATTGTCTACTTGATATCAGACTGAAAAACTGTAAGAGATGTTTAAAGATTTTTTTTTTTTAAATCTACAGTTGACAAGGATATTTGAAAATACTCTCACATGCTGATTTTCATGGGAGTCTTAACTGACACAGCATTTTTAAGAGCAATATGACCATTTCTTGCATAATCTAAAATGTTTGTAGAATGGCTTTTTGAAAAGATAACTAAATTGATAACTCCCTGGCTAAATCGATCAGAGACAAAAAAAAAAAAAAAAAAAAAAACCCGCAAATTACCAATATCAGGAATGAAAGAAGTGATATCATTATAGATGCTACAAACATTTAAAGGACAGTAAGTAAATTTTATGAACAGTTTTATACCAATAATATCTGCAATTTAGATGAAGCAGACAAATTCCTTAAAAAATACATCTACCTGTCATATGTTACTGTTGTTGTTATGTGCCATCGAGTTGGCCCCAACTCATAGTGACCCCTCCTTGGGTTGCCGAGGCAGTATCGCTGTGGAAGTAGCTTGCCCCATCTTCCTTCCGAGGAGTGGCTGGTGTGTTTGTGAACCGCCAGCCTTCTGGTTAGTAGTGAAGTGCCTTAGGCACTATGCTACCAGAGCTCCTACCTGTCATATAGGAGCATCTTATTCAGACACCAATAGTGCCATACAGTGCTTATTGGAGGCAGCTGACTGGCAGAGAAATAGGATAATGCAGACCATCCCCAGAACTCCCTTGATTTTACAGCAGAGGTTGGGTGTGACTATTTGGTATGCACCATGGCCAAGTTTTCAGCAGAGAGGAGCCTTTCTGTGCCAGCCAGCCATGACAGAGAGCTCTCCGACAGAGAAAGAGCCCTGTCCTCCCACTGTGCATATCAGGACCCAAGATTGAGCATTACCTACCAGGGACACTGACATCACTTTGCTCTTTTCCTCAGATTGTCTCAGTGTAGTTGAATCAGCTCCCTGCTAAACTACCAAGAAGAAAAAAGAAATGAGTGTCCAGGATCATTAAGAATTATCACTTATCATTACAAAATATTGACTAAAGACAACATGGAAAATCTGAATTACACTATATTATTAAATAGCATTTTTTTCATCTAAACCCTTCAGATACAAATAGATATACACTCTCCAAGCCCAGATGGTTTCACCAGAATTCTATCAAACATTTGAGGAAAAAATTTAACACTAAGCTTACACAAAATTTTCCTAAAAATAAGAGGAGTTAAAAACACTTCCTAACTCATTGAATGAGGCCAGCATAACCCGGAAGCCAAAACCTGACAAAGGCATTACAAGATAAAAAAAATTATAGACTATATGTTATCATGGACATAAATGTAAATATTCAACTACATAATAGTAAATGAAATCTAGCATCATAGGAAAAGGATTTTATATCATGGGAAATTTCAGATAATCCTAGGACTAAGAGATAGTTTCATCAAATAAGAAGGAAAAACTCTCCTTCAAAGATGAGTTATGAAAAAGGAACCAGCATAATATTTATATAAATAGAATAAGAAAGGAGGAAAGCAACAGAAAAAGTAAATGGTAGGAAAAGACATTTCACTAGAGATCAGCTGCCATAGAGCAGATGAAAATATATTACTATGAATTAATATGGATATTAAAATATTAAATAAATTAGTAAAACAATTCCTTCAAAGAAGCAAACACACAAGTTAGAAATGTAAAGATTTAAGGAAGAGATGGTGACATAACAGAACAAGATGAAATTGAAATAAAAGAAAAGAAATTATCTCAGAAACAGAATTTCCCAGAAGAAAGTCTAAAGAAATAAACTAAAAAGAAAAAAAAAAAAGAATGCAAATAAAAAATATAAATTAAATAAAATGGAAATCAAGATTTTTAGGGTATGTATGTTATGAAGGTTTCCTAGGTATCTGTTTCTGTGTGAAGTACATATGGAAACTAAAGCAACAGTTACTCAGAGAAACATGAAAAAGAAGAGTAATGATGAATTAGGGCCTGCCAGATGTTAAAATGCATTATAAAGCTTCACTAGTTAAAATATATTATAAAGCTTCTCTTATAAAAAGAGAGCAATAAGGAACAGAAAAGAAAGTCCAGAAATTGACCTAAACATACATAAGATCAGTGGGAAAAATACAGACAATTTAGTAAGTGGTCTTGGAACAACTATGATCTTATATAATAATTCTCTAAATGATTACAAATGGATCAAAATTTAAAAGTGAGAAATAAAATCTTAAAAGTATTAGAGTAAATCATGATTTGAAAATGACTTTACATGTAGAGAATTTTTTTTTAAGTATCACACTAAACTCAAAAATTGGAATAGAAAAGATTGATGAATTTGAGTACACATACACAAAATTGTTTTTGGCTTGGCATAAACCTCTGTATTAAGCTCTGTCAAAAGAAACATTATGAAAAAATTTGACATATGCCATAAATATCATCTCCCTAATATATCAAGAACTACTATAAATCATTAAGAAAAACTGACAAACACAAGTATCTCTTAAAGTTGATGCTCAACTTCATTTACAAAAAGGGGAAAATAAAACTTTAAAATATACTGAAAAAAAACCAACTATACTGACATAATACATTAGTGTTTGTTGAAGGGTGTAGAGAAACAGATAATTCTTTGTGAAACTATAAGTTGGTCCTGTCTCAGAGAAGGGAGTAGAATTAATCAATATCTATCAAAATTACAGTTATAGACACCCTTTGATCCAACAATTCCACTTCTAAGAATATTTCTTAAGAGATGCAAAAGTGACATATGAGCACCATAATCGATTATTTATTGCAGTATTGCTTGTGAACTAGCAAAATATTGAAAACAGCCCAAACATCTATCTGGACTGCTCTCAGCTCATAAAGCCGTGCACCCAGCCACAGAACTTTGTCCACCCAGGGCAAGGAACATCTTTCTTATTCACACACAGACCAGTATGGGCTAGCATTTATTGATTTCTCAAAAGTGAAAACTTAAAGACACTTGTGAAGCAATCCTTGAATATTTAAAACTTTTTCCAATCTTTTATAGTTATCTTTACATAATTTAATTGCATTTTTATCCAACTTGTCTCTATCAAGTTCTTCCAAAGCAGTTTAAACTCAGTTTTAATAAAAATAGAAATGATTCTTCTTGCACTCATGTTATCTGTTTATGAAATGATTAACTAAATCATGTAACTGTTACAACTAATATATAAATGTTTAGGAATAAATAGAACTGACTCTTTGCATCAACTGAGCTGGTGATGGTAGTTTATTACGGCATGAATGAAAAGTAGCCTGCCTGCACCAAGCATTCATTGTGCCTAAGATAACAGCTGTTATATCTGGAAGAGGCAATGAAGAGCTCTGGTTAATCTAGCAAGTTGTCTAAATGAAGGTCATTTAAGAGAGCATCCATTCCATACTGACAAAAATACAGGACAATCCATTACGTTCTTAAATAAATAAATTTTGATAAAAAAGTGATTTGCTAGTATCTTCACATTTTCATGCTATGACTTCTTTGTCTTTATGACTTCCATATGAGCCCACGCTCCTTGCATTATGTTGCAGGCTTTGGTCAAAGAGTTACAAAATGATGTCCAGATGATAAGGCGACAAATCAGAGAGCTTAAAAGAATACAGAAGAACAGGGTTGCTTCTAAAACCTCAACCCACAAAGCCCAGACCTTGGCAGCTTCTATCCTGAACATTTCACGATCAGACCTGGAGGAAATACTGGAGACAGAAGATGAAGTGGTAAGATCATCTAAATATTTATTAATAAAGGGATTTTTTAAGGCATACATTCTTATAATTCTTAGAATTTCATCTTTAACATAAAATTAATGAAGGTAAGACTATTAATGAGCCAGTGAAGAGTATTAACCCTTTCAAAAAGCCTTAGAGAATTTTACCTTTATAAGAGAGTAGTAATAAGTCCAAATTTACAACCTTTAAGGATCTCTGGTGGTGCTCTGGTGATAAAGCATTTGGCTGCTAACCAGAAGATTAGCAGTTCAAACCCACTGGCTGCTCCACTGGAGAAAGATGAGGTCATCAGCTTCCATAAAGATTTATAGCCTTGGAAACTCTATGCATCAGAATCAACTTGATGGCAGTCAGTTTGGTTTTTGGTCTAACTTTTAGACCTGCTTGTTTGTAATTCAAGTCACTTGTCCTTTCTTGTCTCCTCCATTTTGTTTAATTTAGTTAATCATATTATATATCTTGTAAGTCAGTATTATTCATTAAGCTAGTTTGAATGGATTTAGTTAAGCTGAGTTACCATTGATTTGAGGATTTTTTTCTTCTTTGCCAGATTTTATAAAGTAGTAAATCTATTGGCTTTCTTGGCTAAATTCAAAATTAGTGTCAATCGAGTTAAAGAAAAAGCTATTACTCTAAATTGGGTAAAATACATGATCCTGTCTGAGTGAATTTATGTGCATATTGGTATGTCTTCAGTGGCATTTCAGCACCTGCTGCTGGAGGGGCATGCATTTTGACATAGTTATTGTTTCCTGAACATCAGATTCTCAGCTTGTGCAGTTTTTTGAGGAACCTAAAGAGGTTCCTCAATCTAGTTTTACACATAAAACCTCTGAACTTCATAACGCAGATAATAGTTTCTTTTTTGTTGTTTGGAAAGATAAAAGAAATTCAAGAATAAAGGATAAAGAGAGATTTATTTTCAATAAATATTTGCCAGATGAATAAATTAAATGATAGAATTATCCTTCAGCCCCCTCAGCTTTCCAGGGAAGTTCTGGAGTAGAGCAGATCCATAATTTGTGCAGGTTTTAAATTGCCAAGAATTCTTCGAATAGAAGTCAAAGGAATCCTGCAGAGATTATTTGCATCTCATAGCAGAGAATTACCAGTTTCCTGTTTTTCAGAACCTGCACCACAATGTCTGTGACTTTCTACTGAATTCTGGATTTTTGAAGTACAAGAGTATTAAATGTATACATTAAATATATATTAAAATATTAATAACTAATATATAAAATTATGTTAAATATATGACACACAAGAGATAGTAGTAACTCCCGGAAAGGTACAGACTATTAAAATTTATTAATTTATAATGTGAAACCTAACAAAAATATAAGATTGGAAGCCTTCACTTTAGCCTAAAAGTTTTAAAGCAATTGTTGTTGTTAGTTGTCCTCAAGTTGATTCTGACTAATGGCTGTCCCCTAATGGCGGAGTAAAACTCCATAGTTTTCAAGGCTGTGACATTTGGGAAGCAGATTGCCTGGCCTGTCTTCCAGGGCACTCTGGTAGGGTTCAGACTGCTAGCCTTTCAGCTAGTAATCAAGCACTTAATCATTTGCAGCACCCAGCTCGTCCTTTTAAAACAAGTAGATTTAAGCCAAACCCCTTGTGTGTGTGTGTGCCTATGTACATACTTATGCACACAAACACATATTACATATTCCAGACACACAGGGCCACTTCCTTTGTACAATTTCTAAAAACATGCCCTCTCAGAAAGGGAAAAAATGTAGAACAAAACTGAAATTCCTGAAAAAGATCAGACCTACTAGACAGACAGAGACTAGAGGAACCCTTGAGGCTATCGCTCTAACATACCCTTTGAACTGAGAATGGAAGTTATTTCTGAAGGTTACTTTTCAACCAAATAATAGATTGGCATATAAAATAAACAGTATCACCTGTGAGTAATGTGTTCTCCTTAAACAATCAACTGTATGAGACCAAAAGGTCAGCAGTAACCCAAAAGCAAAGATGAGAAGTCAAGGAGGGGAATTCAAGCTAGATCAATGGAAACAGAACAAACAGAATGGAAATAATAAAAATGCTGACACGTTGTAAAAAGTGTAACTAATGGCACAAATAATTCGTATAAAAATTGTTAACAAGAAAGACATGGAGAGAGGTAATTATAGGGAAGAAGTGAGAAGAGAGCTGTTATATTGTGAGGATTGCACTCAGTGTCATGAAACAAAATGTGTATGAACTATTGTGTGGAAAATGAATTAGCTCTGTAAACTTTCACCCAAATCACAATAAGTACCAAAATTAAAAAAAAAAAAAATGTTAAGGGGACCCTAATTTCTTGGGTAAACTGTCACCTAAAACACAGTAAAATGTTATTTAAAATAAATAAATAAATAGCCTCTCTGAGCTGACAAATGAGAGAAAAAGCACCCCCTCTGAATGGGAAATTAGAAAAATGAGTCCCCATGGAGTATGTGGATTAGAAAAGGATCTCTCTTTATAGTCCCCAGGAGTCCCTGGGTGGTGCAAATAGCTAACACTCTCACCTCCTAACCAGAGGCATCTCAGAAGAAAGTCTAGCAGTCTGCTTAGGAAAAAGCAGTCATTGAAAAACCCTGTTGAGCTCAGTTCTACTCTTAACACGCGTGGGGTTGCATAAAACGGCAGTTGGGTTTTTTGTAGTCTCTGAGAGAAAATGGCACATTTCTGTGAAGAAATGCACCCCTGCCTCTGGGCAGATGCAGTCTGGAGCTAGAGTCACTGCAGTATACACACCACACACCTTTAAATGGTGGCAGCCCTGCTGGAGAAAAAGGGCTCAAGTGGAAACACACTGCTCTCAGAAGGATCAGAGCACTTTGACATGTTTAGTAGGTTTAAGACAAGAGCTTCTTGAGACTGGTCCATATACATCTTTGAGCAGTCTAAGGAGTTGAGTGGCTTGCCCAAGCAGAGCCCAGACCACCTGACTTAGGTTTTTTTAAACAACATTGAACTAGTAAGTTTGCCTTAGAAGCTGAGATACCCATGTGACATGCTTAGCATGATGAATGAAATGCAGTAGCTTTCTACGAACATTGGTTTACCAAACCCTTTCTTTTTTAAAAAGTATTTGTATACCATACTTCAATGGCTTTTGGAGAAAGGGCATTTTTTCATCATGTGTATGGCCAGCACCCAGTTTGTCAGCTCGAAAATGACAAGCTCACTGCCGTCGAGTCGCTTCCAAGTCATAGCGACCCCTCCTTGGGTTTCCGAGGCAGTATCTCTATGGAAGTAGATTGCCCAACCTTCCTTCTGAGGAGTGGCTGGTGGGTTTGAACCACCAGCCTTCTGCTTAGCAGTCAAATGCCTTAGGCACTATGCCACCAGAGCTCACGTGTGTGTATATATATAAATATGCACACATCATTTGACTCATCAATTATCAAGATAAAAATATTTCTGAAATTATAATGTATTCACATATATAGTTGATCATTCACTTAAAGATCTGTATATTAAAAAAATATATATTGGGTCATGATCTTAAGGGAATGATCAACTTTATGTGTGAATACAGTGTAATTTCAGAAATATTTTTACCTTGATAATTGATGAGTCAGAAGATGTTTAGTAACTTAATAGTACTTTAAGTTGGAATATTCCTCAGCCTATACGTAAACTACTGATTTTTTTTTAAAATAAGCATTTCTATGCACCAGAGTCATGTCGTGTTCTATTACTGTTTGTAACTGTAACAATTACTCCTCCATTATCTGTTGGTAACTCAGATTTCAAATATAAGGCTTTATGTTATCTTATGAGGGCCATTTGCAAATGATTATTTTATAAATCTCCATCCCAGTTTTCATTTTAATTGCCTTTACTCCCATACCTCCATCCCTACCTTTAACTCTACTATGAAGGCAGAAATAAAATATTCTTGAAGTACATTGTAAATTATAGAAATACAGCTTTATCTTCTATATGTATATAAATATTTACAAATTAAATATTTCAAAGCCTGCATTTAAATATTCCTATTTTGAGAGTATGTTGTTATTGTTGTTGTTGTTATATGCTGTCGAGTCAGACCTGACTAATAGCGAGCGACCCCTCATTGGGTTTCCAAGGTAGTATCACTATGGAAGTTGATTGCCCTATCTTCCTTCTGAGGAGTGGCTGGTGGGTTTGAACCGCCAACCTTCTGGTTAGCAGTCAAGTGCCTTAGGCACTACGCCACCAGAGCTCCTTTTGAGGGTATAGGCTGCTGTTTATTGAATCTAGTTATACCAATATCCCTCTAGATTTAACTCAGTATCTAATAATATGGTCAAGTTATAAAAATGCAGTTAATACCATTTTTTTTTTCTTTAGGAAACTGAAAAAGCAAAGATAGATGCTGAAAATGACAAGGAGTGGCTATTGTACATTCAGAAACTTCTTGAAGGCCAGGTACTTCATTTTTCTACTTCATGCAGTATAACTTCCAGATAAAAACTCCAAGCCTTATAGTTTTACTCAGTGCCCAACTTTCTATAAACACTTACAACATTACTTACTTCTGTTAGGTAAAGAAGTATTCCAAGAGGTAGACAGGAAAGTTAACCCTCTATTTGTACTTTTAGACTTAACAAATGAAACAATCGCCTTGGGAAAGACCCAACATGTGTCTTAGCAAATGCATTAATTAAATTATCGAGTCTTCTATGCTTGGTAGATGGAAAAAGGATCCATTCTCTCAGACCTCTTAGGAAAAGAGATTCTTTATTATGTGTCTTTAAAGTTAGTAGTTGATATGGACACCTGAGGAGTTCATGGGTTTCAGTGACCTTTTACTATGGACCTGTTTCCAGTCAATTCATGTTTTCCTCACAGCCAGACAGCTGTTTATTACTGTGTCTTCCCGCATTCTCTACAATATTTTCTACTGAGACCTCGAGCAGCTTGTTAGTGGGAAGTAAATATTGATTTGGCATCCTGTCAATGCAGAAAGAATGAAAAAATTTCCACCAGAGGCCCCTCAAACATTTTCCTATCGACATTTTCTGGGCCGAGTGGAAAGCTGCATAGAGGATGACAAGGCCAAGACGAGTTGAAATCCCTGAGGGGTCTATTGAGACTGCTGCTGTGACCTGTGTGATACTTTTTCTTCTCTTTCAAGTATTTTTTTTAATACACACATAGTCTGCTGGGATGTGCCCCTATTGTAAGTGATCAAGGGCAGTTTATTGGCAGGTGAGAGCCCTGCTTTTCTAGCCATAGCAAGCTTTTGTTTTGACATCACTGACAGCATGTAATATATTCTAAAACTTTTTCATTCTCATTCTTTTTTGCTCATCCTAATTGTTTCTTTTAAAATGAACTGGAATAAATAAGAGCTAAACACATTTGTCAAAATAACAAAGAAAAATTTTATTGGCCTGTGACTTTTGAAAAATCACTGTAAATGTTTCTGTGTCCAGATTAAAAATGGAAGCTGATATATAAATGTAATTATTTGACAGTTATATTACAAAGAGAAGAATATGTAATATTTAAGCTAATCATATTATAAGCTACTCATATTTTAAGTGAGTTTTATATATTTTTGAAACATTCCTCCAGAATCACTTCAATACTAATAGAAGGTGATTAGCAGTCTTCTGCTTAAAGTTGTTTAAGTGCACATGTGCAGGTGTACAATGAATCCTTTTCCAGTGACAAATGGCTTTTGAAGAAGGGGCATTTTGTTAATCATGTGTGTGCCCTGCACCCAGCCAGTGGCTAGCACATGATAAGAGCTCAGTAATGATTAAGTTTGGGGTTTGTCAGCTCAAAATGATAAAAATAAACTTTTTAAGGAATGTTTTCTTGTTCAACTTGTAATTCTGACCTTGTGTTTATTTGATTGGTAATTTTATCATCAATCATCACATAAAATAATAAATCTACATGTGTAAATCTTTACAAAATTCTGCTAACTCTTCACTGACATTGGAACTATCATATTGCTAACGCAGTAGAGGGACACAACCCATTCTACACGATGTAGATGTATGCATATGCTTGCCAGTTCAAGTAAAAAAAAATCTGTTGAAAATGACATCAGACCGCTTAATACTGCAGTTTGATATAGTGCCTTTTTGTGCCACTGAGCCTGGACTCTGTAATATAATTGCCTGGCAGTATTGATTTAATTGCCGAGGTTTATTTGTGGACTCCTAATTATTGACTGGAGGAAAATTTAATGGAGCAGCCTTTATGAACACTGGGAAACCACTGCTGTTGCTGTTATACATAATGAACTGCGTCATGTGCCTTTAGATCATTTTTCAAGCTAATTTTATTCCACTGTGACAGTATGATAACATTTAAAAAGTCAAAGACTTTTTATTTTTATTACTGACATAGGTGGTTTTGCTGATGTCTTTGAATTTTGTGAGGAAAAAAAAATTGGGACTTCACTGGTTGCTCTTGAATGTCACTTTATAATTATGCCCAAGAGAAAAATCTATACAATGGAAAATATCTTTTTTTTTTTTTAAGCCTACATTTCTTCTCTTTCAATTCCAGCAATTATATTTGTCCTGAGTATTAGAAAGGTTTTCTTTGCCCACCAGTTGTTGTTTTATTGGTTTTTGGTTTGTTTGCTTGTTTGGAATCTAAGTAATGCTCACAGGATTGTGGAGGCAAAAATGTAAAAATGTTCGTTCAAACATTTTAATTACTGGTATACAGCTCCTTGTATCTGAGTTTATATGATCTTGCATGATAAAACTCTGGGATAGTTGAGTTCATTCCCTAAAAGAACCTGCTAATTAATTTCATGTTGATTTTGATTATTAGAATATTTTGAAAATAAAATTATAGGAACACTTCACTTTGATACTCCACCCTCAATACTGGGTGCTGAAAGTGATAAAATCCTGAGACTACAGAAATGAATCTGGCCCTGTGGTTTTTGTCTTTTTTTTAAGGATCTGCCCACAGAATTGCTTTCTATTAAAGAACATTTTCTTCACATTCACTTTGATGAAATCTTATCTTGATAAAATATTCATCACAATATAAAAAGCTGTTCTGCCATGTGGTGATGTGGAACTACCTAATAATATAATAGCTTGAGAACTAACAGGTCTAAATTTTTAACTTATATACTTTTAATACAGAATACAAATATATATCATTTCTTACCATTCAGATGCAATAAGTAATTATATATTTGATAGTTTTCTGCACCTATCCTTTGTCCCTAAAGATTTCTACTAATAAGAACCACACTGAAAATCTTTCTAAGATCAACTTTCATTTTTCTATGGACAACTGCCTTTTAATTTCTTTGAACATTTTCACTTGTAGGAATTACTCTTTTCATATTAATAATTTTTAAAAAAATTTATAATTTATGGGAGAAACAAACAAGCAAATTAATGATTCTAGTAGGATGTGAGAAACCCTAAAATGAATTTTTCTATAGTTTAGAGAGCATGAGAGAGGGAGAGAGAGAAACTAGGCTGGGACCACACTATAGAAGCTTTTTAGCCAGAGAGGGATGGTTTCAGAGCAGTACTTTAGAAAAATAATCTTAGATCAGCATATAGGATGGACTGAAGGGAGAAGATACTGGGAGCAAAATGGCAGTCTAGGTGAGAGGCATTGACAGGCCACATGTACCCTGGCCATAGGAATAGAAGGAAATCAGTGTGACTCATAGTATAGTGATTGAAACCCTAACAGTAATGAGATTTAGTGAAGCTGCTTAGAAAGCAGAAACCAGAGATGGGCAGGTTTAATACCCCACATGATGAGAAAGATGATGCTATCTTTAAGAATTTTAGGGTAAAGTAATAGCTTCAGTAGGGAGGAGATGTTAAACAGCAGTTTAAGCTATAGAAAGTTAGTAGGTACATTTCATTAACAGTATTCAGTGATTCATGATGTTTCATTAGTTCAGCCCAGCCAGCAGGTCTATGCTCAGTGTAATTTAACCATTTAAAATATATTTCAGATACTTGTAGCTCAACAATAAAACAACAAAAACCCAATTAAAAATGAGCAAAGAATTTAAATAGATATTTATCCAAAAAGATATACAAATATCCAGTAAACACAAGAAAGAAACTCAACATCATTAGCCATTGGGAAAGTGAAATCAAAACCACAATGAGATACAACTTTACACCTACTAAGATGGCTATAATCAGACAGACAGATAATAGCAAGTGTGGAGGAGGAGGATGTAGAGAAGTCAGAACCCTCATACATTGCTGGTGGGATTGTAAAATGGTACAACCCCTTCAGAACACAGATGGCTGTTCCTCAAAAAGTTAAGCATAGATTACCTTAAAGCCCCACAGTTCTACCCTTTAGTATACATCAAACAGAAATGAAAATATATGTACAAATATATGTACTGGTAAATGAATGTCATAGCAGTATTATTTATAACTGCTCTAAAGTTGAAACAACCTAAATGTCCATCAACTGATAAATAGGTAAACAAAATATAGTATGTACCTACACTGGAATATTATTTAGCCATAAAAATTGAATGAAATATTGATACATGCTACAACATGGATGAACCTTGAATATATTTTGCTGAGTGAAAGAAGCCAGACACAAAAGACCACATACAGTATGAATTTATTCATATATGAATGTCCAAAATAGGTAAATCCAATCTATAGAGACAGAAGTACATTAATGGTAGCCCAGGGCTGACAGAGTTGGGGGTGAGTGGGTGAGGACAGATAAGTGGTGATGGCTAATGGGTACAGGATTTATTTTTGGAGTGATGGAAATGTTCTGAAATTATATAGTGGCAAGTATTGCCCAGTTGTGTGAATATACTAAAAATCACTGAATTGTACACTTTGAAGTGGTTAATTTTATGGTATGTGAATTATTTCTCAGTTTTAAAAATTGAATTCCTTAATACGGAGCATGTTGAAAAAAATGCATTTCAAAGTAAACTTAATAAGATGCTTATATTGCATATATTATGTTCCCTACCATTACTGGTAAAAGTATTTGAACATGAATTTCTGTCTATTGTCCGTAACCATGAGGAAGTGAAATAAATTATTTTATTTCATACTTAAGCACAGTCCTTTCAGTTTACCCATAAGGATATGTTCATTTTATATTCTAATTGATCTTACCTGCTAACATATCCAAATAGAAAGCAGTCTATTTTTTACACTCTTCTCTCTAGAGGACACCGTTTATTTAGTCTTCCCATTCTGATCTTCAAAATTATAATTATAATAAAGGTCATTTGGTTGTGTTATCATGTGTTAATAATACCTGAAACAGTCCTTTGTTCTTGGGACTTTATAAAGGCAGTGGAAAGAATTAGTTGAAATAAAACTGAACCTATGCTATGGTATTCATTCAAAAAACATGTAATGATGAGAGAATAAAAGGGCTGTGTATGCACAGGGAGACAGCTTAGGGGCCAGGAGTGCATG